GGGTTTGGGTTTTTTTTAAATTATTGCTAAAAAAAAAGCCCCTGCAGAGTTACAAATGTGCATGTTTCATTTCCTAACACACACAAAAATGACAGATGTGATTTCCTTCAGACATCTCCAAAATGTAGAGCACAAAAGATGTTGGTAAGAATGGAGGCAGGAGAAGGACTTGAAAAGGTAAACATGAAGTTTAGTAGTGAACTACTATCATAGTTAGTTGCAGATCTGATATTTGTGCCTTTGACACATGGGTTTAGTCTGTTTCACAGTTAGCAATTCAGATGGTTCTCAGATAATAAGAATTTCTTGTGGCTCACCTCCAGCAAGTAGTAAGTATACAAGCTGCAGTGATGTCATATGCTAAATTAAATTGCATTTGATAATACATCATTTCTCCATGAACTTGTTATTTGTGCATGCCATACTGTATTCTTACCTTGCACCGGTAACCTTGAGAATGAAGTGTTTCCTGCTACTGCTTCAATAGTATTTTATTTGGCTTGTGGTATTCCCACAAAGTGTCTCTTACTACTGTTGCATGCACATGAAATTTTCTTTTTGTTTGGTATCTTATTTTATTAAGTGTACTGGAGTATTCAGTCACGGAAGTACTTTGTGAAATTACATCTATTATACCACTGGAATATGACCTGATTTATTATAAGAAGATCAGAGCATAGCTCAAGTGCTCAGTGCATTATCCTAAATGAAGCTTCGTCTCTGAGGGCTGCCATAGCCTTCAACTTTACCGTTATGTTTTAGCCATTGATTTCCCTTTAGAACACAAATGCCGTAATAATACTGCTCGGTAAATGTTTCTTCAGTATTGAATAACTGCTTGTTCTGTCAAGGGGGTGTCAAATTCTGTTCCCAACCTGTCTGTCATGTTACTTCCTTTCCATCTGTCAGCAGAGATGAGCTAAGTGAGTTTGGTAACTCAGATTTGGAGGAAGTGCAGATCGCAAATCAAGTTGAAAGGAAGGAAAGTAACTTTTCAAAGCTTGCTTCTTTACCTATCTTTGACTGCAGTGGTTCCCTACCCTTTCAGAGGAAGCCTCACTGCTGTTGGAGCCATTCTTTCTCGTTGAGTAATGCACGCTGCTCATGCCTCCCACCGTGCTTTCACACCCTACTCTGTCCTGACGCTGTTGCTGGTTCCTCTGCACCTCCTCCCTTCAAAGCCACAGGCAGCTCCTTTCTCACCTTCTGGAGCACAGTTTGTCCCACAGCAACCTAAGGGTGGGGAGGGGCAAAAAAAAAAATCAAATATTGGGGCTGAAGGGGAATGTGGGCTGGTAACCGTTGGGCTGTCTAGGTGAGACTGAAGGAAGCTCCTAGGAGAGCTGGAAAGGTGCTCCGGTGAAAGTGGCTGTGATTTGGAGATAAGGGGGCTGCAGAGGTTAGCCAGAGGCTGATCAGGGACATCTGTCAGCAGTGGGTTTCACAGTTCATAATTTTACAAATGCTTTGTTTTTAAAATTACTTGGTTTTATATTTTCTGCCTTTTTTTCATGTATTACAGGAGGACACAATTACTAATCATTGGGGCATTTTACCAGCATAAGATCATAAAATTTCTGCATAATGCATGATACGTATTCCTGTAATTTAATCATCTAGAGTGTTTATTTGGGGTGGAAATACTGGAAACAATGACATTTCTGAGCTGATTTATGAGGTACTGCACTTTGTAATGAAACCTTCTATGTACTGTTTCTAAAATATCAAGTGTTGTAAAATTGCTGGTAGTCAGGAAAAGAACATTGATAATGGGCTTAAATTTTCTGCATGCAGCTGCAGATGAGAATCGGTAGGAAATAGAGGGATACAGAAGCAGTGGCAGCTATATTGCAAAGATTAGTAACAGAGTTGTTGAATGCCTGAGAAACAAGTACACTCATTGCAATGAGTATGATTTTGTGTTGAGAATTATGTAGTTCCAGGTTTACATTTTAGACAATATTTTAATAGTAAAAGCTCTTGTCACAGGTCATGAAAAACTGCCTCTAGCCAGCTTTCCCAGAGTATACTCTGTGTGTAACCTTTCTGTGGGAACAAGACAACTTATTTCAGTAGGACATGGATGTCAGGAGAGTATTTGTTGTATATTTTATTTTACCTATTTGTAATTTAGCATGTAGGGGAAAAAAGGAAATATCACCAAGGTGATTGGCAGGTAGATTCATCAAGTATCAACAGGTAGTGGGAGGCAATATTTATAGTTTGAGGACTCTCTCTCTGAAGGCTGAGGGCTTTGTTTGCCATGACAGCCCTCAAGACACAGGACAGAGAACTATGGCTTCTGCCTTTCAGAAATAATTTTAAACGTACTAGAGTTAATGCAGTGGTGTTTAAAATGTTGGGTTTTTTAAAAGGGTTTAAAAGGGGGGGGGGGGGTTAAAAAGAGTTTCAAAGGGTTTTTCCATAAAGAATTTGGTATTCATGTGAAGCTTCATAAGATTGCTAAATTATTATCTGAGCAGAATTAGAAGTTATTTTAGATCATGAGCTGCATATACAATCAGCTATGATGCTGCGAAGCTGTTCTTCTGTGTGGTAATGCAAGTATTTCTGAAATAAGTAAATAAATGCATAATACATGAAAACAACAAAAGAAAATGGAGTAATACTCAGTTGTGTAAATTACCTAGATTAGGTAGGATTTAGATAAAAATGTAGCTAAAAAGGAACCAAAGAGAAATTGTCACTGACTGTGGAACCAAAATTGCCCAAACCCAAACTTTGCAGAACTTTTATTAATAAAGCAGAAGATAACATGCATGAATACACTTTTGACGGCAGTAGGAATTACTGACCTGATACAGTTAGGGCCCAAGAAAGGAGAATACTGTGCAGTACTTCAGTTTATATTATAAAGATAAATACAGTTATAGTTCCAGAAGGCTAAAAAGTCCTCAGAATACTTTGCTAAGGTGAGTAAAGCTTCTTTCCAATTTCAGCTTACTCAGCAGCTGGAAAGAGAGTTCATAAAAATTACAAGGAAACATACTTCATTGCACATTGACTGTCCCACCAGAGAGAAAAGTCAAAATTGTAATAGTGACCTTGTTTTTTATGAGCACTTTGAGAGCAGAATTACAGATATAGTTCCTTACTGGATCTTGGTGCACCTGTAAAGCTGATAATGAAGGAATTATGATGGGTCCCTTTGAAATCCCTGCATTGTAACCCAGCCAACCTAGGCTAGCTCTGCTAGAAATTAGTCTAGAGCACAGGCTGTGAACCAGGCAGAGCTTAGTAAATACAGAACATTAACCTCGTATGTGTGTGTGTGCTTGGGTTTAATAAAACTGCATCCAGGGCAGCAAAACAAATGAAGAGGCTTAATTAAGAGATTAAGAGGTTTTATTATTATTAGGACTTAAATTTTTGAACTATGTGAGCTATAGTTTTTAAATTTTATTTTAAACTTAGGCTAATGGGGCAAATTTTATGTTGGAGCTTTGAGTACTATATTTATACAAATAATTGTAAGCATGTATTTAATACAGAATAGCAATAAAATGCTTGATGGAGAGGATTTTGTTACAGGTTTTGTTTCTCTAGCCATCGAATTAAATGACTGTTTTGCCCAGGAAGTGAGCACCTGGTTTTGGCTGGGATAATTTTCTTCCTAGTACGTTGATAACACACTGATGTTTTAGTTGTTGCTAAGTGGTGCTTATCCTAAGTCAAGGACTTTTCAGTTTCCCATGCTTTGCCAGCGAGGAGGTGCACAAGAAGCTGGGAGGAGCGTAGCCAGGACAGCTGACCTGAACTAGCCAAAGGGATATTCCATACCATAAAAGATCATGCTCAGTCTATAAAATGGGGGGAGTTAGCTGGGAGGGGTGGATCGCTGCTCGGGCATCGGTCAGCAGGTAGTGAGCAATTGCATTGTGCATCACTTGTCTTTTCTTGGGTTTCATTTCTCTCTCTTTGTTTTATATTCATTTCCATTACTATTGTTATTACTACTTTTATTATTGTGGTGATTGTTGTTTTTGTTGTTGTTGTTATTATTATTATACTTAATTTTATTTCAATTACTAAACTGTTCTTATCTCAACCCACAAGTTTTACTTTTTTCCTGGTTCTCCTCCCCATCCCAGCTGGGTAGGGAGGAGTGAGTGAGCAGCTGTGTGGTGCTTAGTTGCTGGCTGGGGTTAAACCACGACGTTTGCCCAGAAAGTGTTTCCTGGAAAAGTTATTGGCTGATGCATGAGTATTTCTATTGCAGAACCAGCAGCAGGACACTGTTATTATCCTCTGATAACAGCCTGTTCCAGTGGCTTTATCTCATAAATAAATGAATGCATAAGTGTGCATTGGGATGAATACACTTTAGGTAAAGGCCAGGCAAAGTAATAATCACAGGATTTGGTGTGACATTTTGCCAGCACTCACACTTATTCCTGACTTTTCTAACATTTGTTTTTTCAGCTCATAAATATTTCTGCAAAGTAGACACACTGTTAAAAGACACTGGCTTCCTTGGAGAGATTATGCATGTTAATAAAATGTGAGACAAAAGGTATTGATGCATCATGGTTTTTAATTAGGGGAGAAAAGAAAAAACAACAGTCTTTTAGAAGAGAGGGGATATTCTGAAGACCAACACTTAATTGTCTCAATTTCTGTTACTTTCCAGTATACTCTTACTTTTGAGAGATAAAAAAAACCCAAAACACACAAAAAAAGAAATTTACACTTGCAATAAGAAAAGTAAGTTTGAGTGTCCTGTGGAAGGGAGGAGGTTGTGGGAACATAATCATTCCTTTGATTATATTCAATGAAACTGGGTTGTGTACTTTATAAGAACCAGGAACAACTTCTAACACCTTACACTTCCTAATCCTGTTGCAACTTTGATCATTTCTCTTTTTAAGCAATGACTATAACTGGACCTAACAAAGAGAAGTGCAGTTGCTCAGCTCAGACAGGTAACTTTTATGTTTCGCAGTATCTTTTTCATTCTAATGAAATCTTTCTCTTCATTTTAGACAAATATCACTTGCTGTGTGATAGCACATGGATTTCAGGACCGCCTGTGAAGAGGTAGGATCAGATATTTTTCTTTTCAAGCAATAGTAGAATCAAAATCAATGAACTTTTAATCCTTTTTATATGCAAAATCCTTTTTTTTACCCTTTTTTCCTGAAATGAGAGGAATTATATAATCAAATATAAGTTATTCAGCTGTTCATTTTATGGTGGCAGACAGACTTTGTAGTAGAAGATGAAAGAATTTGCCCAGGTGTATTCATCACTAGCCCTCACCTTTGTCCGTTCCAATTTACCTCTTTAGGCACAATGTAGGTGCAGGTAGCTATGTTTTGTGTGAGCTTTGCTCTTAGTGAAGTGTTTATATCTGAAAGCCTGTACATGAAGAAAAACATCAATGGAGCCAGAAATCTGTCTAGCGCTGTTCAGCAAAATCAAGGGGGACATGTAGAAGTATGGGAAAAAGGTGGGTGGGGAGAGAGGAGAAGCTGTGAAGATGACCAAAATGAAAAGCAATTCCATTTTGATTTGATGAGGTAAGAGAATTATTTTTGCTTAAAATAGGTATAGTTTCATAATGTCAATGCAAAATACTTTACCTCCACTAGAGATGGGAGAAGTGCTTTGCTTTCTGTGTTCATACTAACTTTGCCTTAAAGAAAGTAAATGAGATGTATTTGTAGACATTAAAAAGGGCATCTTATTTACCCCATGATTTTCTATGAACAAATTGTTTTAATGCGTTTTCACAAGTTCAGCAACTGAGACACAGTGAGAACCATTTACACCAAATTACATCGTGATGTCAATGCATTATTAAGATTTTAAAAAAATCATGACAATTACCTGTATGCTGAGAATTGCAAACAATGTTTAGGGATGGGGAACAAGAAAACTGGCCATATCTTTAAGTGTGACCACAATCTCATAAAAAATAGAAGTGGAGGGATGGGAACAGGAGTAGAACCAAGAACTAACTGCAGCTAAAACTAGTTTTGACCTGAGAATAAATTGGTATAAGTTAGGGGGGAAGAGAAAGTAAACAGACTAAAGAACATTAAATCATGACATTATTCTGAAAGGAGTAGTAGGGTCAAATACTAATATTGCAGTGAAACTTGCCTTTAGGAAAGAATACTGTGATGGTTGTCCAGGATGCTATGTATCAGGCTTTAATACCGCAGAAGGTCCATGCACAGTCTAAATTCTGTAACACAGTATATCCCAAATTATTTGCCTGGAAAAAAAGCATTCTTGTTGGTTTTGAGGTTTGGTTTTTAGAATAGAATATTTTCAGTTGGAAGGGACCTGCAGTGATCATCTAGTCCAACTGCCTGACCACTTCAGGGCTGACCAGAAGTTAAAGCATGTTATTAAGGGCATTTTGTTTTGTTGGGTACTTTTAATTTCTTTTTGAATGCACTTATTGAAGAAAAGAGGCAGATACATCATATTTTCATAGGATTTTTATGTTATCATTTAAACTGTACACTAGTATAGATTATTTAGTGGCAATTAACTTCACTCTGTGCCCAGCAGCAGTAATGACAAGAGCACCCACAGAAAGATGACCTGGCATATGAGTCCTATCTTAGCCTTTACAGTGCAAGTACATTGACAAATCTGTTTCATTCTGTATCTAGCTTCTAATGGAGGTATTGATTGCAAATTTAGCTCTTTAAAAATCAGCTGCTTTGTTGGAGCTTCTATGATTGATGAGGGAAGGAGAGGATGACTCCACCCATCCTAAAAAAGCTCCGTAATCTGCAGACCCTAAGAAAGCTTCTTTAGCTTTTAGATGAATAAAATTAAATGAGGTGGATTCAACCCCAGTTTATCTGCTTTGTGTAAAATGAGCTTTATGCCACAGAATCACTGGTGTCACTTGTAGGAAATGCTGAAAACTATCATCTACAGCTTTCCTCCCAAGCCAGTCAAAGTTAATAAAATATAGACTTTGAACCTACTTTTCATCAAATGCCTATGCCTAAATAAAACATCAGCAGCCTTATGCTTACACATAGTGTAATTTTTAACTAAAACCTCAACACTATCATTGTGGTGATGGGCCTTCAGTAGGCTGATGTCCCTTTCGATGGAACTAGGTAGGGTGTTATTCGGACTTCCCCCATCTGCTGTAGTCTGTCTGTACTCTGTGTGTGTGCAGACAAGATTTTATCATGTAACCTAAGAGTTGTGGTTTTTATCTACTTCTTAGCTTCCAGAAGGGTTCATTTTTGTTTCTCCACTGATGTGGACACTGTCCTTTGAATTGCACCATCCAAGTATTAAGTAATTACTTAATATGATTGTTCACTTGAGTTCAGTATGAGGTGTAATCATCCATTCTATTTCAATTCCCAATATATAACTTTCAGCTATTGCTTTTAATACAGTTTTCTTAATACCTTAAGATTTGCCAGACTTGTCACCAAAAACTCATCTAGTACTTGAGCTTCTTATCAAAGTGATGATAGCAACTAAAGAAAATACCATTGTGGCACTACCTCCTTAATTAACTTGTGATTCTATTCCATTGGCACATCTTCAGCAGCAGTTTAGTCACTCCAAGCCACAGATATTTTGGTATTATTTTATTTATTTCAACTATTGACATGAAACAAAGTAGCTGCAGACTTTGCTCCACGTACTTTTGTTTAATTTGTTATCTAGTCAGTACATTTACAACTTTCAGCCTTCTTTCTACTCCATCCCCTATTGTATCAAATTCTCAATCGTACTATGTATCTGGGAAAAATAACCTCTCGTCTTCTATGCCAAAATAGTTACTAGACAGTTTTTGATAATGGCAATAAAAGCTGTCATGAGGCATCTTCACTATTTGATCTTCCTCTTCTTCCCCTCTTTGTTTCCTTTCCTCTGAGTATCTTGTCACCCTTGTTTCCCCATCTTCCAGTGCAGTAACCACCACCACTGTAGAAGAACTGAGAAGAACATCTCACAAAACGATGAGTGGGACTCAGACTTCCATTGGTACTTCCATCCCCATCCTTGCTAATGGCAGTAAATGGTTTGAACTGAGTTTCAATTAGCATAAACCCAAAATATTCCACATAGATGCACTGAGGCTAAAGCACATTTTTCATAGTGTCCATGGCATACTCAATTTTTTTTCCTTAAACTACTCTTTTCATTCTAAATACCTGCTGCTGTAGTGCATTGGATATCTCTGAGGGAACCTTCATCCTTTCATAGTACTGATGCTTTTATGCATCCCTTATTTTTTCTAGTGTCTGCCAGTGGGATTTGGTTTGAGATTTGGACACTGAAATGGTCTTGTCTACTTGTAGGTAGCTGCACATGTACTTTGTGCCTAAGTTCTTACTGCAGATCTGAATAGTACAGTCAGTGGAACCCAGTGAGCAATTCAGTTCTTCCAAAACCTGCTGATCAACTGAATTGCTCTCTACACTTTATTGCCTATAATAAGCATTGATTATAATAAGAGCTTAAACGCTTGTAAGTAGACAGGTACAGTTTGGTGTCAGTCTCAAGATGATTACTATGATTCTAATGATTATTTTCTCCTGTAAGCATCTTATCTATAGGCTGTGCTGCCTTTCAAGGCATCTTAAAGTAGTTTTATTCAACAAGAAAATACCTTCTGTGCTAGACAATTCAACTGGCACTACAAAAAGATGAGGTCTTGCACACATGCACGCATTTTTTCTAAGGGAAACTACCTGGTATCTGATGATGGGAAAGTTATTAATTTTTTCTTGTGGCTTCTCCACTTGCTAGTTGTGGGAAATTTTCCATGGTTTCATATTTAATTATTCTGGTTTCCATGCTCTTTTCCCTCACTAATCAGCAGATGTATCTATTATACTGGTTCTTGTACATATTCAACAATTTCTAAACCATAAGACTATCCAGCTCCTCTTTTAGCCTTTATCCTGAGCTTTCTGAACTTTACAAGAGCATAAATCATAGAGTCACTGAGTTCTTTAAATGCTCTCCTGTATTCACTTGACCTTATTCTATATTCTGAAAACTATCTCTTAGAAGATAACCTCAGTCTCTGACATAATACTGTCCTTTGCAGTAAAAGTACCCTTCTGATGAAATTGAAGACTTGGGATGATTATAATGCATTAGAACATCTTCCCCTTAGATACTTTTTTTTTTTAAGTTGATATTTTCCATGTACTTTATGAACAAGCTGCAAGAACAGCTTTCTAACTTTTCTAACTTTCTAACTTTTGGAATCTCATCCTTTTCTTCTATTAGCATGACTTTTTTTCCTAATGTAACTTCAAACTTATTTAAATTAGTGAATATCCCATTCATTTTCATGCTTATAATCTACTAATCTGTTTTTACAGTACTGCCCATTGTTTTTCTGAAGGATTAATTTGAATTGGTAAACTATTTGTTTGTCCTCTGCTTTATGAATCCTATGAATATTCTTGTAGACTTCGCAAACTTTATAATTTGATACATTCTATTGTTCACAGGTCTAGTGACCTCTGTTTCAACATCCATCTTGTTAGGGTTTTTTTGCCTGCCACAGAATGTGTTTTAATTTTTAAGCAGTATTTTGACTTCCTCGTGACTTTCTTCCATAAATCTTGTTATATACTATTTTGGACTGTTTCTAGTCACCTTTATGCTGTTTTCTGTTTACACATTTCATCCTAAACTTATGATTTCCTTTGTTTATAGATGCTATCAAATGGCAATATTGGGATTTGTAATACCTTGGGTTTGTAGTGTTTTTTGTTTTTTTTTTTTAAATCCATCTTCAACTCATAATTTAATCCCAAAATCGCAAGATGGAAAATGACTGGCAATTTACAATGCCTGTGAGAATGGCATGTAATAGGTGAATTAGATTTGAAGAAACATGCATGTTCTCACAATAGCCTTAAATTTTATGTTATCTTTTCTCTTTGCCTCAACTGTAATGATATAATCTAGTCCCAGTAAACTCATTGGCAATTCAGACATCAAAACTTGTTTCCTTATAGTGTCAGAAAATGAAAGTTTTTGCTCTGAAGAATTACCTTAGTTCAGTAAGAAGCATATATATA